TTTGTTATTAGAAATTTTAAAAATTAAATCAAAAAAATTAAAAAGAAATTATGACATTGAAGTTAATGGGTGTTATAACATGTTGCCTATTTCCTCACTTGGTATTATAACACCATGAATGTCATGGCATGTGAGGTGACAATTTTTGGGTGTGGTAACACGCCGTAACATATTGCCCACACCCACTAATCTAAAGGCTCAAGGTGGAAAACAAACATCAATGTTTCGAGTAGACACACTCTAAATTTATAAAAGTTAGTAACTACATTTAATAGTCTCTTGAAAGCATTATTTAATCCAATTGTAACTATTATTATTGTTGCAATACGGGGGTCCGGAGATATTCTATGATCAAAGGCTTTGTGGTTGTCACGAACTGGATTCGAACCAGCACCTCTGGGAGCAAAAGAAGTAGAAAGTATATTAAAAATAAATTATAATCTTGAATGGATGGTTGAATTATTCTTCCCTAGGATGGTTGAATTATTCTTCCTTCTTAGGTTAATTACATTGTTCATTCCATTTGGGATGCTTGTTAATGAATCACATGAGGCTTCATTTGGTGGTTTATATCAATAGATAACATGTTTTTCCATGGTTAAAGATTATATTGTTGAAGTATTATGAATATGTTGAAGTAAAAGTCATTATTCATATATTATAAGAAATCATGTTAGTTACTCATAAGCTTTATAGCTTATATTGTGGTTATCTTCTATATATACATGTGCTAGTGGTAAAGATAAGGAGCTTATGTTGTGGTTATCTTCGTGGTTTGCAAATACTAAAGGTAAGTAGTTTATGAAGATAAATGGGGATTAAAACTTAAGTCTAGGTCTAATTCGTAGGGGAATTAGTGTAAATAGGGAAATGGCTTTTAGAAAGAAATCATAGTTTTCATTCTTTCATTTTAGAGAAATCTCAAGAAAAAATCCTAATATTTTACGTGCCTTAATTTACGAAAAAGTCTTTAACTAAATTTTTTTTACGAAAAAACATGAATTACCGGTAAAAATGACGATTTGACCTATTTTTCCCGATTTAACGGTTTCATTACTGACTTGATTTCATTAACATCCCATTATATTACCATAATTTACGAATAAGTATCAACTAAAAATTAAGTGATGATTTGTCAATTTTCTCCCTGTAAAATACATTTTACCGATTTCATTGTTGACCTGAATGTTTAGTCATTAGATGAGTTGGCGAGATGGATATGATTGGTTATATAATGCTATGTTTACCATAAAATTTGATATCCTGATGTATTATATATTTGTTGCAATATCATATGCATCGAAAGAAGACTGCAATAATTATATAAGCTAGCAACAACTTCATCATTTTTAAGTTTATAGGAACTTTCAAACTTTCTGTCTAATCTTATATAACCTAATATATCTATCTCATCAACTCATTTTCCACACTTTTTTCTCAAAAACATATAATTTACCTATTTCATTGTTTTCGTAGATACATAATCATAAATGAGTCGATTAGATAGATATCAAGTTTTACGGTAAACGTAGCATTATATAACACATCGTATGCATCTTATCAGCTCATTTATGACTAGACATTTAGGTCAACAATGAAACTTGTAAAATGTATGTTACATGGAGAAGTTAGAAAAAACATCACTTAATTTTAGTTTGAGACTTATTCGTAAATTAAGGTAAAATAACATAAATTAGGGTAAAGTAATGATACTTTAATTAAACCAAGCCAACAATGAAACCAGTAAAGAGCAAAAAAAGTTCAAATCGTCATTTGTTACGTTAATTCATGTTTTTCTGTAAACAAATTTTAGTTTGAGACTTTTTCGTAAATTAGGGTAAAATATTAGGACTTTTCTGGAGATTTCATTCTTTTTGCTCTCTTATTTCTATATTGCATAAGTAGGTCAAGATCAATAGAAAATTCATCTATGGCTGATTCTTTGTTGATTCATTCTAAGTTTCTTCATAATTATTCATTAAATGTTTCCACAATTGCAAAACAAGTGGTATCACAATTAGAGGAGAAGTTTTTTTTGACCAATTGGTGATATGAAGGTGATTCTTGGTGCGTTCTTTTTCTGGTGCTTCATTGAAGGTGAAAAGGGTATTTAGATGACGTTCCAATTTAGTATTCACATGTAATATTCGATCAAGATTAATGAAAAGAAAATAAAAGCACAAATTCGAAATTTCACTATAGTGGATGTATTTTTTTCTTGTGAAAAAATTCGGAGTTTTAATTGGGTTAATAGGCAAGTTCGTTTAGGTTTCGTTCATTAAACTGCCTTTGTTTTGAGTTTGTGATTTGTTTTCTTGGGGTCCCTCTACAAAGATTGTGTCTGAAGTAGAGTTTGAAAGATTGCATGCCAAATGTTCGATAAAAGTTCTCAAAGAGGTCAAGTAGTGTTCTTCGGGTTCAAAAATAGGGGTTTGACTATCATTTCAAAGGGATCGAATAAGGGGTGTAAGGGTTTCAATCAGGTGGCAATCCATTTGATTTTCATGGGGTTTTTCGATCAAAGGAAGTAGTTGACATATTTTACAACATAGAGGGTATGTTTCTAAGGAAGAATGGTCTATGGTGGGTGGAGTTTTAGTTCAAGGCGCGAGTGTTGCTAAAGAAACAAAGAATATGGTTTTCACTTGTAAGAAAGAGGCTTGCAAGTGAGTGTGAGATAATGTATATGGAAAGAAGAAGGTAAAGAAATGAATTTGGTAGTGGTGTCATGGGATACCGGTTTTGTGTCGTCCAAGAGGTGTACTGTGTTGAGTCGGGGTACTACGTTCAATAAGAAGTTGATGGTCTACCGATATGGTTCTTCGTGTATGGTGGAGAAGGTGGAGGGGATTTCCTAACGGGTAGAAGATAACGACTTTGTGGTGGTATCGAATGTCGAAAAGTATGCTACTCAAATTGATACAAAGGAGTTGGACGTGAGTTTTTTCAACATAGCCTTGGGTCTTTAATGGCGGACTTGTATAAGAATGTTCCTTAAGGTGGAGTCGAAGTGGCTTGTTCTTCGATTGCTCGAGTTTGGTGCAAAGGACAAGTTAGATATGGGTTCGAGGACCTGGGAGCCTACATGGATGATGTGGTTGGTGCTACTTGGTGGGAGGCGATGTTTAGCTCGATAGGGGTGAGCTGTGGGTTAAGGCGATGTTTCGAAAGGTAGACGGGTCAACTACGAAGCAAAAATTTTCACCCGTAGTGCGACATGTGATTTTTTTATTGTGCTCTCATTGAAGGAAACTCAAAGGGCCCAACCAGGTTGGTTTTTCAGTTTATCTGATGGTGGATCACATCGTACGTATTTGCGGGTCCGTGTATATAGGGTTATACGGGTTTGATAGGCATGCTTTGGTGGCGAGAAGTTAGGTAGAGATCGAAAGTGAAGTTGGGACAACTCCAAGGTGTTTGTTTTGGTGACTCGAATGTTTTGATTGGATACGGTCGACTATCCAAAGTTGTTTCAAGTTTCGAATAAAATTTGACTTTCAATATTGAATGATAGGATTTAGTTTGTAAGCTAAGGTGAACATTGTACATAAAAGGTGGCTTAAAACTTAAGTCTATGGTTCGTAAATAATTAAGACTTCACTATGGGGGCCATTATTAATTAAAGCTGGTAATGGGTCGACCTAGGTTTGGTTCGGGTTCAACACATTTATTAATTGGGTTGAAGATTTCAACCCAACCCCACCTTTTTATTTAAATGACTAGATATTTCCAACCCAACCTAACCTTTCAAATAAATGGGTTGTCACTAGGTTCACCCGTTTATATAATTCCTAACCTAACCTATTAAAATATATGAGTTAAATTTGGGTTAACCCATTTAAAATAGAAAAGTAAAATAAAATTAACTAAAGATTAAACCACATAAATTATTTCATAACTTAAGTAAACTTTCAAAGTATAATAAATGTATAATCATAATTCAAAAATACAAAGAAAATTTTCAAATAAAATTAAAAATATGTAATTTCGAAATGATTTTGAAAAGTGATTAGTGTTGTCAGTGCAAAGAAAAAAATAGGAATTAGAATTGCATTTTTTAAAACATAAATAATAATACAACTTTGTAATTTATAAATTAATACTTAGATTAATACATGGTAATATTTAAATAATTATTATATTAAATATATATATTAAAGTTAAATGGGTTGGTGGGTTGAAAACGGGTTGACAACATTTACCCAATCTAACCTATTTAATTATATGTGTTAGGCGGGTTAATTCATTTATCCTAAATGGATTGAAAATCCCAACCCAACCTGTTAATTTTGAGTTGGGTTCGATTAGGTCGGTGGGTTGGTCGATTAGGTCGGTGGGTTGGTCAATTTTTGGGTGCTCTATTATTAATGTAAATAGGGAAATGGCTTTTAGAAAGAAATGTACAGTTTTCATTATTTCTTTTAACTTCTTATTTCTGTATCGCATACATAAGCACGTCAAGATCAATAGAAAATCCATCTTTGGCTACTTCTTTGTTGATTTCTTCTAAGTTTCTTCCTAATTATTCATTTATTGCTTCCGCAAATGAACAACAGTTGGCATAGTATATGAAGCTTAAAAAATATCTGGAAGATGGTTCTTTTCCATCTTTTGGGTAGTTTGTCATGTAACACACATTTGGGTTAACATTTTTTGTAACTAAGATTTTATGTGAACTTGTATACTTTGCTTGTTCATAGTACAAGTGTATTGTAAAAATGTTTTAGAACATGAATTCTTTTTTGTGTATCTTATATTCTAATTTTACGGGCATTACACCTTAAGTACATAATATTCACCAAGGACTTACTCATGTTTAATTATGGTATAACACATAATTCTCTTCTATTATAAATCGTCATTATATCCTACTTTATTAAATTTTATACTTATATCTTGTTTAGTTTTTGACTAAATAATATAATTTGCTAAATATTCCATAACATATGGTAGCTTTCTACCTTTCTTAGACGACTTAAAAATAAACAATTGGTACCAGTTCATTCACAAATGGTGATTACATTATGACTTCCGGTTTCCTCTCTAATGCCACAACCAGCGCTAGCATAATTTACACCAGTGCTGATCTCTTCGTCGGTTGCAGTAGCATAAGGTGGAATAAAGTCATCGAAGCCAAGAAATTGACCTGAAATTCATCATCCAAAGGATATGTTGATTGTTACTGTCCATATTTTTCACGTATAGAAAATGAATAAGTATATAACATAAGAAAACCGACTTTTGATGAATTGACAAGATTATCCTTGGTCAATGAAAAGAATATAAAATATTTAGGAACAAAAACAACACCAACATTAATATTTTTGTTATAAAATAATGTTGAAGATTATCCAACTCTAGATACATGGTTATAAAAGCACTGCCTATTTGATCCCTTCTCTTATTTAATCTAAACTTAAGGCTTCAATATGAAGTGGTTATCAAGTTCACCGATTTTTAATTTTTGAGTAAATTACACGAATGGTCCTTATGGTTTGCGGTAATTTGCATGTTTAGTCCCTAACTTATTTTTTTAACTCGGAAGATCCCTACTGTTTGTTTTTGTTGCGCGCTTGGTCCCCGTCTTACATAAAAAAACTATTTTGCCATTGATTTTTTAATTCATTTAAATAAAACACCACAACCCCACTTACACCTCACATTACCTTATTTTACCTACCTCATCTTATTTAAATAAATTAAAAAATCAAAGGCAAAATAGTATTTTTAGGTAAGACAGAGACCAAGCGCGCAAAAAAAAAAAACAAACTATAGGGACCTTCCGAGTTAAAAAAACAAGTTAGAGACCAAACATGCAAATTACCCCAAACCAGAGGGACCATTCGTGTAATTTACTCTTAATTTTTAAGAAATTATTTCATCTTTGTATAACAATAGTAACAGGCAAAATAAGTACTTATCTTGATTAGTTTTCTAAATGTAGAATGTTTATTTTTTATTGGTTGGCTGAAGATGCAAATTGTCAAACAAAATGAGAGAGAGAAAAAAATAAAGAGAGATACCGATAATATTTGCGGTTGTCCGACCGTTGCAGAACCTGCCAGTATCACCTTTTGGAAAATCAACCCCATAAGGACGGTAATTGGCTTTCCATTTTGAGTAAAGTTCATTGTTGTTGCCATTATCGACTAATGAGTCTCCAAAGATGAAGTAACATGGCACTTTTGGTTCACCGGAAACTTTGTATGTCCCAAAGTGCCATAATAATATAAAGACGTGGACTATGAGTAAAAAGCTCGACTCGTGAGCCATTTTTGTTAGCATAAAAGGAGAGGGATTACCATAATTAATTTTTTGTGCTATCTTCCTCTTACTTAAAGACAAAAGAGGCGGGGAACTAAGTTAGGCAAAATAGTAGAAAATTTGGTAAAAACTAAGTTCATGCGTATACTTTAAAAATCAGTTACTACTTCAACATGCATTGAAGTTATAAGAAGTGGTTATACTAAAATATTAGGCCACATATATCAACGCTCAATCATTGTCGCTACGATAGTATTGAAATAGTTATCTTATCTCTCCTTAAATCATCTACAATAGTGAGTTTTATGAGAGTTGAATGAGGTTACAAATATATTTGTCATTCAATGAATTAAACTTTACCATGGTGAGATGTTACATTGACATTCAATTGATTTGGAGTTCTATGGTCATTAAACTTTTCAATGGGAAAAAAAAAAGTTTTAAATTCTTAAATATTTACTATGAATTAGGTTCTGTAATTTTCTATTGAACTTTGTCCAGTTCAATATATTGTAGAAAAAATTGATAGCGTATGAAATATAAAAAAATAACATGACAATACATTGAACTGTATTGAAAATGCCCTTATAACCTCAAGCAACAACAAAAGGGCTTCAAGATCTTAACAAACGTTTAAACATAAAACTTTGATTTACTAAAACACTTTTCTAAAACAATTATAGAATCAAAACTTATTTCTAGAATACAAATATAAGATCAAAAGAAACATTGATTACAATAAATTAACATCATAAAACAACGATAAAAGCTCGAATCGTGACCTTGCTTTTTTTGAAAACGATCACTTCTTTCTTATAGATTATTGAAAGAGATGGATGATATTAATCCATAGAAAATGTCCTAATGGCTTGCATGTTTCTCAAATGAAACAATATAGCATAGTACGTAACACTTCATGGCACACCTTATTGCAGAAAATATGTGTATCATTTAGTCATACTCAACATTAAAGTTGAGCTAATTGGCTTATATCATATGGGGAAGCGTCCTTTTGTGAAACTCCAGAATATGATCTTGTTGCAATGATGTTATTAGAAACTTCTGTCGGATGTAAACCATCAAAGAAAATAGAGACAGACCGCATAGGGCAAGGAATCGACTTTGGAATGCATTGTCCATCTTTTCTTACTAGACAACACGGAGAATTTGGCATGGGCACATCTGAAATATAAATATGCATCTTACAACTCTAATGAACTTTCATATATTTTGTTTAACATTTAAACATTACTTTGTAACTTTTTACTTGATTCATAATTTTTTTTTTGAAAAATGCAGCATGCTTCATATATGCATACACCTAATTGCATTGAGGAGTTATATAGTAATTAATTAAGCCATGAAACCAGTTTTGTCCATGTGAATCTAGTTTCATTACTACCCAGACTTTACCTCCTAGAGGTGACAAAATGCTCCCAAGGTTGATGAAGGTGAATTTTGCATCTGATTTCTTATGGTTAAGTGTATGAACAAGAGCTTTAAGCCTATCATTGAATAATGTAACTGCCTCATTCATCTTCTGTACGCACGGTTTGCCGTATGTGCCAAATTTGTTTATATAAATTGGGCTACACCCAATAGGAGCCAGACTAAACACCGCAATCTTCCTGCCCCCCAAACTATACAAACTCTATCATACATCAAAATGTTAGAAACATGCTTGCATTATTAAGCATTCCAAAAAGAGTTGCCTCATGTTTGAATCTCAAAGGTTTTAACTTTAAGTTGACATGTCGTTCTAAGAATGTAGTTTTAGCAACACGAAAGGGAGATGAGAATGAGCAAGCCCCTTTTTAGGAAAAATAGTACCATAAACCTAGATAAAGAATAGATGAATTATAATATGTGTACCTTCAGTTGTCCAGAGTACTGGTTTATAAGTACTTTTGCGTATTGACGCTTGGTATACATGTGGCTTGTATTGTAAAGGTCGGGCATGTAGTAGTTGTTGATGTAATCGTTGCTTCCTATATTTACAATGTAGATGCATTTTCTTAGGAATTTTGTATTCTTTTTCAAGCGTGAAATTCGTGAAATTATGGACTTGTGATGAAGTAATTGCCTATCCATGCTGTAGCGATCACCCTGTGATGAAAGAAAATGCATATAAATTTATTATGTCTCAAGAGTTAATGGAAAAAGTAGCTATACTTAAGGATAAATTCAACCAAATTTAAATAGATGTAGTTTAGCCGTTATCATCATTAAAATGCCAAATTAATTTCTAAAGCGACTTGATAACATGGAAATCCTATTTGTAAGGAAATGAATTTCCATCAAGAAACGTGATTTCTAAGGCTTCTTAGTATACCATTAAATAAAATGCATGTTATAGGAGTCTAGTTGCAAATGAAGATTACCATATGACTTCCCGTTTCTTTCCGAATCCCACTACCCCCACTGCCATAGTTTACTCCAATGCTGATTTCTTTGTTAGTTGCAGTAGCATATGATGGAATGAACTTATCAAAGCCTAGAAGTTGACCTGAAGCAAGTATGTAATTTGTTAATCTCAATATTATTGTTGTCAATATTTTTTACATATTATATATAAATAAATTAAGCCGATAATAATAAATGTCCAACCAAGAACACAAACTAACAATATTTTGCCATTGAATAAGCTAAATAAGTCATCCAAAATATATAAAATTGTAACTACAAGATACAGAGAATTTAACATGGTTGGACTAGGTTATGCAAGAAATGTGGTTTAAACTACCTTATGGAATCATTAGAATACAAACATATTCATCAAGATCCACTATTATTTCTCTTGCATGTTTGCGACCAGAGAGATACGACACAATGAAAGTGTAACAAAAAACTAAACAAGTCCACTTTTGAGAGCGCTCAAAGTCAAACTCTATAATACAATTATTTACAAATTAGACCTTTAGGCATAGTATTTATGTCACTAAACACCACAATCTCCACCTTAATAAGGACACCAAGTCCATTTAACACTTTTTGTATGGGAAGTGATTCGTACACAACAGTTTTTTGCCATACACAACAATTTATGAATTATAGAGTTGTACAATACAACATTTTAAAGCACCAATTGTTGTGTATGGAGAAAAATTGTTGTGTACAAATCATCTCCCTTTATCTATAATAAAAGAGAGAAAACTCCCTACTGAGTTCGATCATGAAAGCTTTGATAAAAAAACATATATATTGCATAAACATTTCGTCGGGACCAAACATATATATCTTTATGTTCTCCCGACTTCTCCCCAGTTAGCGGATACAAGATTTTTGATAATTGGGGGTAGTAGCCAAATCCAAGATTTTAAACACATGTTTTTCCCGCTTGCATCAAATGACAAAATAGTCGATCGGAAAATTTTGGTTTTGGGGCCGGTTTGTTTTGTTTTGTTTTGCTTTTTTTTTAAGAGTTATCGGGTGAGTTTGTTTATAATATAATCAATTATTTTTTCTATAACAAAAAAGGGCTAAAAAATCAACTTGTACACCTATCAAAACAATTAACCATTGGTCATGAATATAGTTTTGAGAGCAACTATACATTGATATAGAGAAATAAAATGTTATATATTTTAACAACATTTGACCCACCATGATGTGGTGGATTTGATTAAATTATAATAAAGTTTATGTTATTAATCCTAGGGGAAGGTTTAATGGAAAATGCACGATCAGTGCAACACATGTGGGAACTAATGAAACCATGACAACACATCACTTTAGAGTAAACTTCATAAATACTTTTACAATACATTATTTATGAATAGAGAAATGAAAATGTGTCACTTGATCATTAGTTCCAACATATGTTACCATAGTTATGCATTTTCTGTTAAACCTACTTCATTAGTCCTATAATAAATTGATAATCCATAAGCAATCAAGTTCGTAAAAATAAATGTGTAAGATGGTAGGTAGATAGAAACTTCATTTTTTGACTAGATAATAGGTTTATACATTGCATTTCAAGTATTCGTTGAGGGAAAGTATTAAAAGTTTTTTTTGCCATTGAGGGCACCAGCCCCTATCTCCTATTTAGATTTACCCCTGCTTCTCCTCAACCTTTTGTGGGGGTGAATGACTAGTGTATTCATAGAAAATCCAAGCTAATGTGGCAAAACAAAATAGGATTTGAATATTGAAAGTTTTAGGAAGTTATCATGTCTACATAATAGTGTGGTGGGTGATTGGAGTATTCTAAACTATAAGTGTTTGGGTGTTCTTCATAATAAGGTTAAAATCATATAGGATATGAAATCTACGAGTTTCTTACTTATCATAATTGGGGTGGAACTTTCCTATTGATTTGTTGAAAAGTGAAGAGTAATGTTTTTCTTAAACGACAAATATATTAAAGAAGAGCTACTAACAAGGACATAGCTATAGAGAAAACAAGAATTACTTCGATTGTAAGGCTTTACTAAGGGACCTCAACTACTCTAAGAATTAAGTATTCAAAATTTTACATCTAGATCTAATCCACATAAAATGCGGAAGTCTAACATCAATAAAGAGCACCTCGATGCATCCTTTTTTCTTCATGAACACCATGTCATTTCTTAACCTCCATGTACACCAAGACATGTCACATATGATGCTGTCAAAACCCATTGTTCTTGGGTTAGATCCTTCCACCTGTCCAATATCCCTGCTAAATCGCCATAGTTTTGAAGTCCTGAAACATTTTAATCCCACCATTTGCTTAGTTTACTCGAGACCACTTTTATAAACCCAAAATCAAATAGTAAGTTCTCTATCGACTTTGTTTTTTCTGAGCATAAATCACACAAAATTCTATTCATTTTATGCCTATTTTATCAAGGTTATCTTTCATAGAAATATGATTAAGGATTATTTTCTACCTAATCATATTAGCCTTACACATTGTGGTGATTTTAGTGTCACCATGTCATTTTAAGTAACTGGAACTAACATGTGAGCTAAGGGGCTTCATAATTTGTACTCTATTATATGTACGGGGTTGTGCAGAGTGCACGCATGTATAAGATCGAATTAGAAGCCGGTTCGACGATTAGTCGGGGGTCCGGGGGCAGCGCCCCCGGGTCCGGGGTTTCTATAGGGGCAACGCCCCTTTGGCGGGGTCTAGGGGCAGCGCCCCTAGCGAGGTCCAAAGGCCAGAGCCCCTGGCTGGGACCATAGTGGAAAATTCAATTTCTTGAGGGTGTTTATGGTAAAACTAACAAAACTCGTTAGTTTTGGGAACCCTAAATCCTCATTAAATCCGAATTAATATTACTTGCTTCCAAAGCAACTAATGATGGCCCAACCTAATGAAACCCTAATATCGTTTATTGTATAAATGGCTCTTCTTTTCAGAAGAGGGTGACGATCTTAAGCTCTCGTTTTTCATCACACTTTCACAGAATCCTCTAGCATATTGGCTTACAATTTCTGTGCCTAGAATCGTTAGTGTCCACTTGGATTATCTTAGGCTAAATTTCTTGTAACCCAGGCATAGGGTAGATATATCAGTTCGGAAAGTGATATCACGATCCAAGTCGGTATCCAAATCTCCACTACAAACCCTAATATTCCCAACAATCGAACTGATATTTCCTATTCCTGGAGATGTGTGACTCAATCCGCGAGATGACTACCAAGTTTTCCAAACTGGAGAAGTTCGAAGGTGTCGACTTCAGGCGTTAGAAGAAGAAGATGCACTTCATGCTAACTACTTTGAAAGCAGCATACATGTTGACTACTCCAAGACCAGCAGAGCCTGCAGAAGGTGTTTTTGAGACAGCTGAAGAGACAAGAAAGAGACAGAAGTGGGACAATGATGACTACATCTGCAAAGGTCATATTCTGAACGGTATATCTGATGCATTATTTGATATCTATAGTGAAGCCTTGTGTGCCAAGGAGTTGTGGGACACCCTTGAACTGAAATACATTACTAAGGATGCTTCTAGCAAGAAGTTTCTGGTCAGTGACTTTAATTATAAGATGGAAGATTCAAGGTCTGTCACTGAGCAGTATAATGAACTCCTTGGCATATACGGTCAGTTTAAACTGCACCGTATGAATATGGATGAATCCATTGTTGTGTCCACTATCATTGACAAACTGCCTCTGTCCTGGAAAGACTTCAAACATAACTTGAAACATCAAAAGGAGGAACTGTCATTGGTTCAAATTGCTAGTCACATTCGTATTGAAGAATCTCTTCGTGCGAAGGAAAGTGACAAATCTGAAAAACCCAAAGGAAAAGTTGAACCTGGACAGCCCTCGGTTCATATGGTTGAAAACAAACCAAGGAACCAAACCACAAAGGACATGGCAAACGTAAGCAGGAATATGCCCCAAGCAACTCCAACAAAAAGAGAAAGGATCTGGTTTGTTGGAGGTGCAATCAAGTTGGGCATTGCAAGCGTGATTGTCGTGTGAATTTGGGCAACAATGGTGCTGGAAACAGTGGAGCCAATGGGAAAGTGAACGGGTCTTCGGCCCAAGTTAAAAGAGGTCAGTTTTTGACTAACTTTGATAATTCTAATCAGAATTATGTTTATTATGTTTCATTTATCCCTGAATCATTCTATGTGCAGGATGATGATGTTGCTTGGTGGATCGACTCCGGTGCAACGAACCATGTATGCAAGGATAAACGGATGTTTGAAACATTACTCCGCTTGAAGATGGGTCGGTGCTGAAAATGGGAGACGATTCTTTTATTTCTATTTGTGGTTTAGGTGTCGTGTGTCTTGAATTTACTTCTGGAAAGACAATTAGGTTATTTGATGTTTTGTTTGTTCCCAAGATTCGCAAGAATCTTGCTATCTCTAGTTGTTTGAATTCTGATGGTTTTAAACAAGTTATTGAGTCGGATAAGTTTGTTTTGTCTAAGGGTGGAATGTTTGTTGGCTTTGGATATTTAAATAATAGAATGTTTCTTTGAATATTGTTGACAAATTATTACTTGTTCAATTCTGCATTTGTATCTTCTGCTTCTAATGTTGATAAATCTATGCTTTGGCATGTAAGATTAGGTCATGTCAACTTTAGAAAGATGCATGAGATGTCAAAAGATGGATTAATTCCAGCCTTTGATATGACATCTGATAAATGTAAAACATGCATGCTTACAAAAGTGACAAAACAACCCTTTCCTAGTGTCACTAGAAATTCAGCTTTTTTGGAACTTGTACACAGTGACCTGTGTGATTTCCACTCCACTCCTTCTTTGGGAAATAAAAAATATGTGGTCACTTTTATTGATGACTGCACTCGGTTTTGCTTTGTGTATTTGTTGCATTCTAAGGATGAAGCCTTAGATAAATTCAAAATATACAAAACCGAGGTGGAATTGCAATTGGGCATTCTGGTTAAATGTCTCAGGACTGATAGGGGAGGTGAATATATGGATCCCATATACTTCCAATCAGTGGGTATCATTCATGAGACCACGGCACCTTACACGCCCCAACAGAATGGTATTGCTGAACGCAAAAATCGAGTTTTAAAGGAAATGGTAAACTCGATGTTGTCTTACTCGGGATTGAGTGAAGGATTCTGGGGAGAGGCCATGTTAACGGCCTGCTATTTATTAAATAGGGTTCCAAATAAAAGGAACAAAACAGTCCCATATGAACTTTGGTTCAAGAAAAAGCCGAATTTGAGTTATTTTCGGGTTTGGGGATGTCGGGCAGTTGTAAAACTCACCGAGCCCAAAAAGAAGAATTTGGGAGAACGTGGAATTGATTGCATATTCATTGGATATGCTGAACATTCCAAGGCATATAGGTTTTATGTAATAGAACCTAATGATTCGGTTTCGGTTAACACTGTTATCGAATCACGAGATGCAATTTTTGATGAGATGCGGTTTTCATCGATTCAAAGGCCTAAGGATCTGACTTTTGGTGCTCTTAAAGATCAAAATTCAGAAAGTCAAGATGGTGGTAATGTGCAAGAACCACAAGAGCTTCGTAAAAGCAAAAGAGGCATGCGAAAAATTTCGGATCCGACTTCCAACTGTATTTGGTGGAAGGTTCAAGAGATGAAATTAATCTTGAATACTCTTATTGCTATAGTATTGAAGATGATCCTAAGACTTATCAAGAGGCCATAGAGTCTCATGATAGTGCCTTTTGGAAGGAAGCAATTGATGATGAAATGTCATCAATTCTTGAGAAGAACACATGTGTGTTATCTGATTTGCCTCCAGGTTTTAAACCACTCGGTTGCAAATGGATTTTCAAAAAGAAAATGAATGTTAATGGGACTATTGACAAGTTCAAAGCCCGGTTAGTCATCCAAGGTTTTAGACAAAAACCCGGTATTGACTACTTTGATACGTATGCTCCGGTTGCACGTATTGCTACTATTAGATTGTTGATTGCTTTGGCAAGTATCCACAATCTGGTTATTCATCAAATGGATGTGAAAACAACCTTTTTAAATGGTGATCTTGACGAGGAAGTTTACATGAAACAACCTGAAGGTTTTATTATGCCCGGTAAAGAGCATATGGTTTGTAAACTTGTCAAATCTTTGTATGGGCTGAAACAAGCGCCTAAACAATGGCATCAGAAATTTGATGAAGTTATTTTGTCCTCTGGTTTCAAGACAAACCAATGTGACAAATGTGTTTATAGTAGATTTGATGATGCTACTAAAGCTGGGGTGATCATTTGCTTATATGTAGATGACATGTTGATTTTTGGTACCGACCAAAATCAAGTAGATGAAACAAAGAAATTGTTATCATCTAAGTTTTCTATGAAATATTTAGGAGAGGCTGATGTAATTCTTGGAATAAGAATTAAAAGGATGAACAAAGGTTTGGTAATGACTCAAAGTCATTATATTGAGAAAATTCTCAAGCGGTTTAATTTTACCGACTGTTCTCCTGTGAGTACTTCTATGGACCCAAGTTTGAAATTAATGCCAAATAATGGTGTTCCTATTTCACAATTGGAATATTCTAAGGCTATTGGTAGCTTGATGTATGCCATGACAAGTACCAGAACTGATATTGCTTTTGTGTGGGTAAGTTGAGCAGGTACACTAGTAATCCTAGTGCTCAACATTGGCAAGCAGTGAATAGAGTGTTTAAATATCTCAAGGGAACCATGGATTATGGCTTGAGTTATATGGGAAGTCCTTTGGTTTTAGAAGGTCATTCGGATGCAAGTTGGATGACCAACATGGAGGACCATTCCTCAACTTTTGGTTCGGTATTCTTGCTTGGGGGAGGTGCCATTTCTTGGGCTTCCAAGAAGCAATCTTGCATTACAAACTCGACAATGGAATCTGAGTTTGTTGCGTTATCAGCTGCTGGTAAAGAAGCAGAGTGGCTAAGGAATTTAGTCTATGAGATTCCTTTGTGGTCTAAACCAATAACACCTATTTCTATCCTTTGTGATAGTGCATCCGCTTTGGCTAAGGCATATACCAGGTTTATAATGGCAAGTCTAGACATTTAGGTGTTAGACATAGTATGATTAGAGAACTAATCATGAATGGTGTGATTTCGGCTGAGTTTGTGAAATCGCAACAAAATTTGGCAGATCACTTGACTAAAGGTCTGACAAGAGACTTAGTGCACAAGTCTGTAATCGGGATGGGATTAAAGTCCATTTAATTCTATAATGATGAGACACCCAATTCCCTCCTAATATAATGTTAGGAGTTGAATTCAATGTGGAAAGCTCATACTTATAGATTGGAACACATGA